TGCACCAGTTGTGACCCTGGTGTGCACCTACTGTGGGGTCATAGCAAAAAGAGCTCCCCACTTGGGTGATGTTGGTTAATTTCTATCACTAATACCAGTTTGATTGACAACAAATATGGTGTATGCAAGCAGCTGGAATTTGAGCAGCTGATGGAGATTCCAGAGAAAAATCCTGAGATGTTCTTCTCTGTCTCTGTAAGGAACAATCACTGCCAGTCTGTGTGAAGGATTGCAGGTTTTTGGGGTGAAACTGCCTCCAAGTTCCACATCTTGATGTCTATTGATAACTTCTTCCCAGGAAACATTTTCCAATTTGATTTGATATTCTGAATATCCAGGATCCAGTGTTGAGTGAGCTAAATGACAAAATCCCTTGATAAGTATTTCAAAAGTAGGGGATGCATGAAAAAAAAACCAGTGTTCCCCAATCTGTGGTCTATGGACCAGCACCAGTCCACAGAAGGCTTTTGTTGGTCCATGAGAAATTTGCAGCATAATACATTTATCAAAAGTCAGGATGAAGCCTGTTCTTTTCACCCGAAATTTCAGAAGGAGAAAGGCAGTTGAATCATTTGATGAAAACAAAAGTTGGATTTTCTCCTGATAACACCTTGGAAACATTGTCACCTGCTGAAATAAAGTGTTTTAGCTTTTCCTTCTGAGAAACCTCTCAAAGGCATATTTCTCATTCTTTGATGACACTCTTGATTGAATTCTTCTTGCATCTACCTGCATGCCTAATAAAATTTAAGCAACACTTTTGCAAGTGTGCAAAACATTCTTGAAACTTTACCAGTCTGCAGAATATTTTTGGGAAATTTGCCGGACCATGAAACAACTTTCTGGAAATTTACTGGTCCTCAGGCCAAAAAAAGGTTGGGGAACACTGATATAAACACTTCACATTTGCCTACTTTGTGACCCAGGAACCAGTGGACATGAATTCTGCATTTGTTCCGCATAATTGTTAGCTCTTTGGTAATGAGAGAATAAAAAAGACCCTGCCAGGAAGCACAATGCATATCCAGACCCTACACAAACAAGTGATGACAACTTCTTGTACCACAGCATTCCTTGTTTTTTCAAGTACTCTTTTGGGATCAAAGTCAGGATCCTGACACTTGCACAGCACTTGTCTGAAAAACGATTCAGAATATCAGAATCAGTGTTTACCTATATAGGTCACAAATGACTGAGATTATGCATGATATGCCTTCTGCTCATTTTTCTTTCACCATTACATAAAGTCAGTCTCTCTTGGAACAGCAGCATATAAAATAAAAACACAAGCAAGGAAACACTTGGAGCTGGTGAATATTGCAGAAAATTATCAAACCTGTAATCCTTCTGAACAACCCAGAAAGAAAGCTTCATCAGTGTTTCACATCTCACCTGTCACCACTATTAACTTCACTGCTCTCATATCTGTAAAAGAGTGGGTGTCATGGGTCCACTAGATGTTGTCCAAGACCCTGACATCACACCATGAGCTGACTTACATGTTGCTCATGGTTTTACCACCTCTCAAAGAAACAAAGCAAAAGAAAAGGAAGAAACATTACATATCATTAAGAATATTCCATGAACCTGTGAAACCTTCATCAAATATTCCATTCTTACCAAAAACACTCTGAATCATCCTTTTCTAAAGGATTCTTAAGAATTACAAACAATTATGTAACCACTCAACCTTCAGGAACATTTCCATTAGAATGGACCTGAGGCTGGATGGCAGCTGAAGATCACTACTGCTGTTCTGAACTCAAGATCACCTAAATCAAGGAGCTTGTGTTCTGTGTGATTTTTGGAAAACATACATTTTTGATCAAGAACATTCCTCCAACCAAAAACAGCCAATTGTACTTGTACATTCATTTTTCCACCAAAACCAACTCTTTGCCATAGAGGTCTTGAGACCCAAGACAAAATTGGTGGCCACTCTGGCCAGTGAGAACTGACTGAGAAATTTGGATAGAAAACTGTTTGAAAATTTTGTACACAAAAATCTTGCATAAAAAAAAAACCTTGGCAAACAAAAATTGTAAGCACCATAAACCAACCAAAAGTGTGTGAAGTGAGTATCTCTGGGGTGGAGTGGAGTTTGGTACCCAACCAAAAGCCCCCACTGCCAAAAGCCCCCCTACCCAGCAAAGAATCGGGGCATCCCTCGGCCCATCTGGGATGCAACGGCTATGGGAGCCCTTCCTCCATCCTGTGGGATGGTCTTACAGGAGGAATCCGGCTAGCCCTGGCAGCCATCCCCCAGATGGAGGGGCAGGATGGGTCCTCCATGCGC